AGGCATCTAGCTCCTCCAGCCGCTGCTGCAGCAGGGTTCCCACATCTGGGCTGGGTACCAGGTTGGGAGTAAGGGTCCTGCTAGCTGCTGCCCGGACCCCACGGGATGGCCGACGGGATCGGGGAAGACTGCTGTCCCGAAATTCTACAGCCCGCCGGAGCTTCCTTGAGCTGGTGAGAATCAGAGTCCCATTGCGCTCCCGGGGTTCCTCAAAGATGGTCTCAAAGGTCCTGGACCAGATAGGGAGAGGATCTATTTACCAATAGGCCATTGGTTCTGGCCTTCTCCACCACCCTCAAGCTTTCAAAGTTCCTCACCTCCTGGTTGTGGGTGATTGATAATTCTTGTTGGTATAAATTTCTTCCAAGCTGAACTCCTTCTTGTTTAACCTGGGAGCAAAGAGCAGAGGCCACTGAGAAACCTTGGGCCAGTGGGGCCTGAAGAAGGGCTAGGTAAGACCTGGTCTGTATTTCAGTTTCTGGATCATGCCAGGGCCAGGAGTGCTGTGTGAGGCAGACAGGAAGTTCTAAGCACAAACCATGTCCATGCCAAACTGTCTCCTCCAGGCGGGACTGTGCTCCCTGAGAGGAGACAAAGCCATACTTCAGGGGACATAAGCCTCCATCTGCTGGACCAAAGCAGCTCCCTGCCTAGTGAATCTCTCACCTGACTGGTCGAGGCAGCCCCATTGGTGTAAGGTTTATTTGAGGACGGACTGGTGTCTTGCGTATTCTGAATCCAGAAACCTTTCCCATAGTCTGCAAAAATGGTGTAGGTAGTTAAAGAGTGGCTTCCATGAAGTACAGACAGCTGGGAATCCATTTGTCTCCTCCCTCTCAGCTGTAATCCTACCTTGGTCTCAGGGTCTGAAAGCACCTGGTCTTTTGAGGATCTTGGTTCCTTCCCCTTGGTTGAGCCCAATCTGCAGAGAAGGTCAAGGCTCAGGAACCAACAAGATTCACAGCAATATCCCCTTCTCCTGCCCACTGAATACTTAAGGAAGCTGGACCCAGACTGTGGCCAGGGCTTCAAGGGTTTATTGAGTGCACTACCTGGGTTCTGCTGGTTCGGAGAAGGAGGAGGTGGATGCACTGGACGAGCAAGATGTGGTGAGAGAAGGGGAGGCAACCATTCCTCCAAGAGGGAAGACCTCTTTCCGGAGACAGGGCCGAGGAGGTGGTGGGGCTCGGGCCATCTCCCCACCACCCACAGTGTGCCGCCGGGGCCTGGACCAGCTTGTTTGGGGTGGAACAGGGGGCCAGGTGCAGGTACCTGGGCCAGGGGGCCCCAGATCAGGGCAGGAGTGGCTTCGGCCCAGAGAAAGCTTAGGGAGAGGTGCTGGGGTATTATGGTCCTGAGCCCGCCACTGGCGGATGGGGGGCCGGGGACTAACAGATGTAATGCCCTCAGCCCGGGACTGCTCAGCCTCTGAGATGGCAATCTTCAACTCCAGCTTCATGGGAGATGATGGGGGTGGGGCCCGCGGGGTCTTGTTGGGCGTGAGGAAGATGTCAGCGAAACTCTCCAGCTTGGAGCGGACGGAACGGAAGAGGGGGGCCAAGCCCCAGGGACTGAGGCGGGGGCGTAAAAGACTGGATGGTGGTGGGGTCGATGGGGGCTCCAGAGCAGGATCTGGGGCTAAGGAAAGGAGAGGGTCACAGGTAGGCATTCCTTAGCTGTGGGTGTCTAAGCCCCAACTTAGTAGCCTTGGCCTTTGTCTCAAACAATAATCTTTATCCACAGAGGAATAAACCCACTCCTAAAAATTAAGTCCTACAATTGGGAGTTAAACCTCAAAGCCTCTAAATTCCATTTTCATGCACTATGTTCCACTCTGGGAGGACCCCACCCCCCACCTCTGCACCTGATACTTCCAGAAATCTTAGTTCCAAGTCTCAACCCTCATCCTTACCTGGTGGTGGGCTCTCTGGTGGGTCTGCAGTAAGGGTGGACGGCTGGAATGGAGGTTCTAGGTCCTCAGATGCAGGCATTAGCTGGTGAATCTTTGCCATGGGCTCAACTCTGAGGTTAAGGGGCAAGGTAAAGGTTTCGGGTGAAGGCTTCCAGGTCTAAATCTCACCTAAGCCACCACCTCCCCTGTCCTTTGTTTTTTGTGGTTTTTTTTTTTGGGGGGGGGGGGGATACTGGGAATTAAACCTGGGACACTCTGTTACTGAACTATATATCCCCAATCCTTTTTATTTATTTTATTTTTTGGTACCAGGGATTAAACTCAGGGGTGCTTAACCACTGGGACACATCCCCAGCCATTTTTATTTTTTATTTTGAGACAAGGTCTCACTAAGTTGCTTAAGGCCTTGCTAAATTGCTGAGGCTGGCTTTGAACTTGCAATTCTCCTGCCTCAGTCTCTAGGAAAAGCTTGTGCATGGCACCCCTGTCCCTTAAAGGTGCTACAAGGAAGACTGAAAAATAAATCCTGATGTCCCTAGCTCTGGCTACCGGGATGATCCCTTCCCCAGCCCCTCTCACCTTTGTGATGGGATGGCGAAGGTGGGGTTCTCATCCACGAAGTCCTGGATATAAACAAGGGATATATGTGGAGAAGCAGGGAAGCTGCCTTTGGCTTCCTTAGTTCCCTATGCCCTGGCTCTTTCAGTCCCCAGCTACCTGCTTGGGTTCACACTTAAGACTTTCATATAATTTTTGCTCAGGTATTGTATGCTACCTAAAATGCTGTGATTCTTGCCCTGAGAGAAATTTACCCCAGAGTCAGTCATCTTATTTCTCTTTTATAACCCTGCTGGAAAGCCCCAGCTAAACCCCTATCATCCTTCCCCAAGTTCTATACCTCAGCTGGGAGTCTGGGACCAGCAATGTCTTCTAGCATCACCACCAGGGTAGGTTGGGGGCCCTGGCCCACCTTTGGTGAAGGGCTCTCCTCTGGGATGGGGGTTGTCCTTGATCGTTGCCTCAGGGTAGAAGAGGGCCGATGGATTCGACTCAAGGGTTCTCGGCACAAATGCAGGGGGTCAGGAGGCCTGGAAAGGGAACAAAAAACTCAGTGGGCTCAGCTGTGTCCCCAGCTGATTCCCCATCCTGCCATGCTCACCTGGCCTGTGAAGGCCACTTGATCTTTTGGGGTTGTGAGGCACGTGACTGGCTGCAGACAGAATCTTGAAGATTGCTGTGTTGCTGTGGAATACAGTTCTTCTCTTGAGGGACCAGGGGGACCTAGAAGAGAGAGAGGTGTCAAGAGCAAGAGAGGTTGAACTGAACAGTGTCTCCCTTAGCCTAACAGTTCCCTTAGCCTCAAGGTGACAAAGATCATGGCTAGAATTCACTCAAATCCCCAAAGAAGAGGGGAGCTGGTCTGAATTAAGGGCCCAGAATTAGAGATCTTGAACTGCAGGTGTGGAATGTGGGTAATCTCAACAGGCTGTTTGGAGAAATGAAAGAGAGTGATCTAGGGTGGGTCAATACCTTATTTTGGGTATCAGTTTTTCTCATTTGTGCAATGGAGCCAAGGACCCCAGAAGCTTCCCCAAGGAAAAAAAGCAGAAGGGTTTCTCATATTTGAAAGTTGTAGGAATGTGGTTCCAGCCACAGGGGTTGGGAGGTGAGGAAACTGTGAGCACTGGAAACCCTGCTCACTTCTAGGTTGAAGGGAGAACTATGCAGAACTGTAGCATTAGGGAGGGTGCTGGGGCCATAGACATGAAAATGAGGTGTTTGTATATTTTTAAGGACTGTAGTCTGACTTTGGTATTGAGGAGTGATTTGAGGGGAAAAGAGGGCCTTTCAGTTCAGGGGGCTCACCATGTGGGCAGCCATAACATCTTCCAGCACCACGGCAAGGACCCTCCGAGAGGCCTTTTCCAGGGGCGAAGGGGCTCCCACGGGCTGCAGCCTTGGCCGTTTTGGGCTCCTGGCTTCCCATAATGATCGAGCTAGGGGCTGACGGCACAGCCGGCTAGATGAGCTGGAGGGTAAAAGAAGCAGAGGACGGTCGCCTGAAACTGTCGTTGGCTCTGTAGTTTCTCGGTACAGCCGCCAGGACCCCCGTCACCCGGGCTCAAGACAGGCGGGCGGGGTGCGCTCTCACCTGGAGTCCCCAGGCAAGTCCATGGGGGAAGCGGCGGCTCCGGGGGGTCCCTGGGGGATGCCAGGCTGCGGCCTGGGGTAAGGGGGGGAGCAGGGGAGCGGGGAGTGAGGGCCAGCCCCTCCCTCGGGCCTCCGCCCTTCATGGTCCTCCCGCAGCTCCCGGTAACCCAGACTGGAGCCCTGGGGCGCTAAAGGGCGCCCCCGGCTGGCAGGCCGGGGCGGGTGTACTCCCGCTGCCGCCTCCTTGATCAGCGGTTCACTCTTGCCCTGCCTGGCACCTGCCGCGAGATTCTGGGTTACAGAGGCCCCAGGTCTCCCAGGGTCCTAGTCTCCCAGGGCCTTTGTCCCTGAAGATTCTGCCCTGAGATTCCCCGGGATCCACTGGGATCCCGGTCCTGGGAGGCTTCGTTTCCGCTGCATGCTTCAGTGATCCTCCTCCCTTCTCGGCGAGCAGCGGAGGATTCCAAAGCAATACTCCACACACTGACGGTCCTCCCTCCCACCAGATCCCCAAGACCGGATTTCTACGGAAAGAATCCTACAGCGCGGTTCTTCCAATCAGACGCCGCACGGCGCTCCTCCTCCCCCTGTGAGCTTTAGCTCTGCAAAGCTCCACTCCGGCGGGGGCAGCCCGAGCTTTGGCATCACAGAACTCAGTCTGGATCCCGGGGGATCTACTGTCAAGCAGATACCCTCTTCGCTCCAACCCCGGAGGTTCCGCCCACAGACACCATCCCACCCACACCTCCTACCCTGCCCTTATCCCCTCCCAGCGTTCTACCCAGCCCGGGACCAGATGGTTCAAACGCTCCCTATCCCGCCCCCCCTCCTGCCCGCTCTGCAGCCGCTCCTTGCCCTCCCCCGCGCGCCGCTCACCGCCGCCTCCCGCGGATCCCCGGTCTTCGATTGCTCCCACCTCCGACTCCTTTAAAACCAGCCTTACCCAACGCTGCCCAACCGCCAGGGGCCTTCTTCTCGGAGTCTCCGGGCACCGCCCAATCGCCGGTCCCCGTCTTCCGGGGTGGTAAGAAACTAAGTGAAGCCGCCTGGTGGCCATCATCCCTAGGGGCAAGAAGCCAAATTGGGCAGCACCGCCATTATAGTTGAGGGCAAATATCGTAGTCCGGGTTGAACCTTAGTGGACCCGACAGCGTCATCTTTTTGAAGGCGAGTTAGTAGCTAAATACTATGCCAGATTTCATGACATGCTGAGGCAACCATAGTGAAGCTAGGGTGCCTCCACGTTTTTTAAGGGCATCTTCCGGTTCTTTCGTTCTTAGGCCAATGAGCGTCGACCGACTGCTAACGATTTGTGAAATTCCCAACGTCCTAGAGAGGCCTCATCTGAGTCTGATTGCGACACAACCCGGGGTTCTTCCACCAGATTCTCACCGCACAGGATCTGAGTTTGGGAGGGAGTGGTGGGGGTCCTGAGTTCAAACACCAGAGGTCAAAGACCAGGGCAGGTGCAGCCTCGGACTTCTTTGTTGCACGGTATCCTGGAGAAATTGGGCCGAGCCGAAGTTGGGAAGAGGTTGGGCATGTTGATCTTCATTTCGTCTGAGTTTTGTATGCTTCTTCCCGGAGGAGTGGAGGTGTCCGCTAACCGCAGAAAGGGTTCACCATTGAGGCTCCATTGCAGGACGCCATAAATCCACCTTAACTTGCTTGGTGGGGCCGGTTTAGCTTCCCTCTTTGTTCGGGACTCCCAGGAGCCACTATCAGGAGGAGCCTGACTGATGCAGACCGTAAATACTTAGGGTTCAGGGATGGGATCTCGAGGCTTGGAGAAACTGCATCATGGGTTTTTAGCAGGAGCCAGACTGTTGGTGGTGAAAAAGTGAGCATATACCGTCTTCTCGCACTGTGAAGGCGCCCTCAGCACCTAATCAAAGTCCATGCCTCCGCTAGTTCTTCCCCAGAAGAACTATTCCCTGTTCCAAAGCAAACCTTGTTTTCTTAATAAAACAAGAGAGCCTGAAGCCTAGTGTCCTGGGTTTAAGGTCAAGGTGCAGAGGCACCTCTCGGTCTAGAATAATTTTCTTTCGGGAGATTGAGTGATGAAAGTATTAAAACAATGATATGGAAAGAACAGAATTGCAGCGTGGAACGTAAAGATTCTCCAACTCCGTCCCCAAGGACTCTCTTCAAGATAAAAGTGCTCTCAGGATTACAATGTCTCTTTGTGATTGGAGATCGGCTGGGTCTCTGGAAATCCTTTATGAGATTTCTGGTGTGAGTAGGCAACAGCTCTTCCAGCTAGAGGGATTTTCTCTCCTGGATCCATTTGGCCGTGTGGTGCCTAAAGATATTCCCTGGAGGTATGGTGAGTGCCTAGGCCTAGAGTGTCCTCTGAGTTTAAACACACAGGTCCTTTCTAGGCCCCAGGGCAGGAAAAGCCTTCAAGAGCAGAGCAAACAATCTGATTTTTGATTCTCTAAGTTGCCAGAAGTCTCAACAACACTAAGGGTAAAGGAAGTAGCCTAAGGAAAAGGCCTGGAGGCTGAAAATTTGGTAGATAGGGCCCAATCCTGAGATCCTAATTTAGGGCATAGAGTTCATCAAATTGAAATCTAAGGTAGACTGTCCCAGCCCTCAGCCTAGGCTAGCAAGGGTGAGCACTCATGGCTTCACAAAATTGAACTCTGCCCTTTTTGTGACTCCTATTTCAACTACTCCTACCTAACCCACCATCTGGGTACATATTACAGTATGTGACAAGTGTGTGCTGAATGGTTCACATAAACTCCAGTGGGGCTGCTGATGGGCTGTTAGTGCACTTTAGTTATCTTTCCTCAGAAACTGGTCCTCTGGATCTCCCATCTTCTTAACTGTGTTTGGCCTTATATATAGGATAGGAACAATAAACCCTATCATGCCTATCTCAAAGTAGACTTGGAAGATGAAGAGCAAGAGAGAAGACACAAAGAGAAAAAAAGTGAAGCTGGGTGTAATGGTACATGTCTATCATCCCAGTGGCTAGGGAGGCTGAGGCAGGAGGATTGCATGTTCAAGACCAGCCTCAGCAACTTAGTGAGACCCTGTCTCAAAAAAATAAAAAGGGCTGGGGATGTAACTCAGTGGTAAAGCAACCCTGGGTTCAATCCCTAGTACCTGCCCCCAAAAGAGGATGATAAAAGCTGCTGCTTCTTAGCCAAGTGCAGTGGTGCACAGCTATAATCCCAGCAATTTGGGAGGCCAAGTGAGGAGGATCACAAAGTTCAAGACCAATTTAGCAATTTAGTGAGACCCTGCCTTAAATTTAAAAATGCCTGGGAATGTAGCTATTAAGCTCTACCATTAGGTAGAGCACACCTGGGGTTCAATCCCCAGTACTGCAAACAACAAAAAGCTGCTTCTTTCTGCTCTGAGTGCCCTGCCCCTTTGGGTCCTCCAGCTAGCTGCTGGAGACCTTTCTGTTAAAACCCACTAGCCTGAGCTCCAAAACAGCCAGGGTAGAGTGGGTGGGGTTGTGGCTGCAGGGTATCAGAGATGGGTGAAATGGGTCAATTTTAGCCCTTTACCAGGAACCACACCTCAGAAATAATAGTAAGCCTTGGGTTTGGGTTGCTGCTCTGGTTTGCATTAATCCATTCAACAAAATTTCAAGACTTCCCAGGTACTATGTCCTCAGGGGAGACACGCCTGACCCCTGAAAGTTTGCATCCCTGCATTTATACCTCTGTATACGAGATTGCCATCGGTTCTGATGCTTCCAGCAACTTTAATCCTCTACTCTGAGGTACTTGATTTAGCCAGGTTTAAGCACATTCCTGCCCAATTTAAGTCCCCTGATGAACATTGAAGCTTCACTTCTGGAGGGTTTTCTACTCTAGTCAGCTACTTCAGATTGTTATTATTATTTTTAATCTGAAAAATTTGGTCCTGCCTATGGTCCTCCTCCTCTTTCCCAGTGGAGAGAGCCACCTGTGGCCAGTTCCGTCCTTGTCCATCCCCTCTTTTTTTCTAGCAGGGGGATGGTAGACAGGGCTCAAGTTTGGAAAGCTGATAGTAAAACTAATGAAAATGTGGGGAGGGAAGGAGATTGGGAGGGTGTAGAGACAACAAAGAAGAGTGAAGGGAGCTGCCTATTAATATCTGAAACAGTAGTACATTATGATGCCTGTTTTCAATTTATCCCCTCATCTCCAATTTTATTTGTTTATTTATTTAGGGCTGGTAATCAATCTCAGGGTCTCCCACATGCTAGGCAAGCACTCTACCACTGAGCTACACTCCCAGCCCTCAAATTCATTCTCCCCATCCCCCTTGCTCTGTGAGAATGGATCTGGTCCATTGAAATATTTTTTTCTCTACTAGCTGGCATTGTGTTAAGGGTTGTCCATATACTGCTAGAAAAACATTGCAGCAAGAAAGGGAGTTGCTTCCTGATTCCAGTGAACCTACTGGCAGGCTCCTGGGTTCTATCCCCCAGCCCCTGCATGGTGGTCAACAGCATCCAATGGCCAGCAGCTCACCCTAGTACCTTCTTGGATGGCTTTGTAGTGACTCCACTACAAAGTACCTCTGGTGAGACACCTTCCCATGAATAGCCCTTCCTGGCACCCTAGAGGAAAGATTTCCAGCAGGTTCCACGAGAAGGGCACTCTAACCATTTCTGTGACCTCTCCAGAAAGTTCTGGATCACCCCCAGGAAGGGTGGAGTATTTTTCCTGGATGCTCTCAGTGTGAGGGACAGCAGCTGCTTCTTATATCTGCTGTTCTTGCAGTTTTTTAAATTGCTTATTATCTGTAGTGAATAGAATTCCCCCCCCCCAAAGATATGTTCAAGTCCTAACCCTCTCCCTCAGTTCCTATAAATGTGACTTTATTTGGAAATAAAGTCTTTGCAAATGTAGTTAAAATGAGATCATACTGGATTAGGATGGGCCCTAATCCAATGACTGGTGTGTCATTTATAAGAAAAGGAACTTGGACACACACGTAAAAAGGAGACTGTAATGTGAAGATACAAACATGCAGAGAAAATACCATATGACAGAGGCAGAGATTGAAGTGGCGCATCTGATACAAGCCAAGGAATGCCAAAGATTGCCAACAAGATTACCAGCAACCTAGAAGAGACAAAGGAAGACATTCTACCCAGGAAAATGATACAGAATTCAATCTTTCATTTCTTTAAATTACTTGTTATAGTTGATCATTTTTGTATTAACTTTTCCTCATTTAAATTGCCATATGGTTTCTCCTTCCTGATTGGACCAGACTTAACACATCAACAAATATACTAGCATCTTAGCATGAAATAAAGTAGAATATCTAAGCTAGGTAATGTGGTTGAATGCCCATAATTCCAGCTACTTGGGAGGCTGAGGCAGGAAGGTCAAAAATTCGAGGCCAGCCTCAGCAATTTAGCAAGATCCTGTCTCAAAATAAAAATTTAAAAAGGGATGGATACTGGGGATTGAACTAGAGCAAATTATATTCTATGCTTATATAATTATGTCAAAATGAACCCAAAAGTTATACATAACTATAATGAAATAATAAATATGTGGCTCAGTGGTGGAACACCCCTGGGTTCAATCCCTAGGGCTAAAAAAAAAAAAGTATGCATATAAATGTGTGTGTGTGTGTGTATGTGTGTGTGTTATACAGTTGAACTGTTAACAGAAGAAAGGAGCAATAAAAAGAAAAATTGCCAGGCTCAGTGGCGCACACCTGTAATCCCAGCGGCTTGGGAGAATGAGACAGGAGAATCGCAAGTTCAAAGCCAGCTTCAGCAACCACAGGGCAACTAAGCAACTCAGTGAGACTCTGTCTCTAAATAAAATACAAAATAGGGCTGGGGATGTGGCTCAGTAGTCCAGTGCCCCTGAGTTCAATCCCTGGTACCAAAAAATAAAAAAAATAAAAAATAATGCACACCGGTAATCCCATTGCTTCAGGAAGCTGATGCAGGAGGATCAAAGTTTTCGACCAGCCTCAGCAAGTTTGTGAGACTCTAAGCAATTGAGCAAGACCCTTTATCAAAAAAACAAACAAACAAACAAACAAAAACCCGTGGAGGGTGGGGGTCGGTGCTAGGGATGTAGCTCAGTGGTAAAGTTCTCCTGAATTCAATCACTGAAACAACAACAAAAACAACAAAAAAAAAGATAAATGACAAAATAAAAATATAATCCTAAAGGACAAATAAAGAGAAGTTTTTTTATTTTATTTATATCTATCCAGGTATGGTGGTACATGCCTTTAATCCCAGCAACTCAGGAAGCTAAGGAAGGATTATGCAAGTCTGAGGCCAATCTGGGTAATTTAGTAAGTAAAACACAAACAAAAAAACATTCTCATAAATTCACAAAACAACTCCTAGGGGGTGACTCTGCCCATGTTGACATCCACTGGTTTAGGGCCACTGATTTAAAGCTCTAGTTTCAGCCAGGCCCAGGGCACATACCTGTAATCCCAGCAACTCAGGAAGCTGACACAGAGGATCACAAGTTTGAGGGTAGCCTCAGTAATTTAGCAAGGCCTTCAGCAACTTAGATCCTAAAATAAAATAGCTGGGCACAGTGGCACACACCTGTAATCCTAGCGGCTCTGGAGGCTGAGTGAGGCAGGAGAATCATGAGTTCAAAGCCAGCCTCAGCAAAAGTGAGGTACTAAACAATTCAGTGAGACCCTGTCTCTAAATAAGATACAAAATAAGAGCTGGGGATATGGCTCAGTAGTTGAGTGCCCCTGAGTTCAATCCCTGGTAACTGGAAAAAAAAGAGGGTGGGGTGGGGATATAGCTCAGTGGTAAAAAGCCCTCTGGGTTAAATCCTTATTATGGAAAAAAAAAAATCAGCATCTGGGGAGGTATCATTGAGATTGGGAAATGAAAGGATTATTCAGGGTCCAGTGAAGGTCAATTCAGAAGAAAACCGTAATCGTAGTTGGAAAAAAGTAGGAACTGCCAAGTGTTGTTATGCTTGACTCCATCAAGATTTGTTAAATGGATGAATGAATGATGTTACAG